GGACGGGAGCCACAAAGGGCGACCACGTGCGGCCTCGCGCCCGCGGGGCGAGGACCTGCCGAGTCGGACCCCTGCGCCCACCCACCCCGCGCGCCCAGAGCGCCCGGCGCCAGCGCAGAGGGCGCCCCGGCTGCCTCGATCGTCCCGCCCTAACTTCTTCAACTTCTCTGCAAGGAGGAACCTGCGCCCGGATCGGATCCGCACTTGAACTCCGCCGCGCCGGCCCTCCACCTTGCGCCGCCCCGAGCGCGGGCGGGGAGCGGCTCCGGGAAGCCCTGATGAACTCTCCAGAAAGAGCGTGAAGGCAGGTCCGCCGCGCTCGGCCCTCGCCGGGATCTCCCTTGGGGAGCTGGGAGCAGCAGAGCCGGGAAAGACGGTGGAGAATGATCGTGCGGCCCCTGAGGACCTCTGCGCAGTAATGCCAACATGTAAGTCTCACAGCTCAGAATTCCTTCACACCTTTACCTGTATTCCCCCCATCACCCCCCCCACCCTCAACTAAATGATTTTGTAAGGCCTTCAACTGCATCGATTGAATAAACCGGTTTGTCTTCGGTTTGCTCCCCGAGGCATTGAGGAGCCAGCTGGTATTGCCACATGGAGTTGTGACATGTGTGTGCGGCTTACTTTTTTCCAGCGAGAGGTAAACCTCACATTTGGGCGGTGTAAAGCATAATAAGAAGGGCAGAACTTCAAGAATGGGGAAAACGTGTTTTCGATTCAAATTCAACAAGGAGTAACAGGCAAAGGCGCCTCCATCCAGGAGCCTTGCCCTGCCAAGAAAGCGCGCTCCTGGATCAACACCGGGGGCTTGGAAGGTACTGGTATGCTGAGAAATGTTGACTTGACACATTGTCACCCTTGACTGTAGAAGTTATTCTTGGATCTTTGGGTTATTTGAATATGGTTAAAAAGAAAAAGCACGCAGAAAAGGTTCTTGGTTGTACTTTGCACATTATAAAGTAGTTAAGGAATATGTCATTTTCGTGATAGGTTGGATCCGTGAAGTGACTTCTACAGAATTCTATAGAATTAGAAGCGGGAGGCTATAGGGCGATGAAATGGTTAGAGAAACCTAATAGGTTTTGCTTCTGTGGACTTGTCATCTAAGTGGTGAGGTGCCTTGGAGCGACCCCGCGAAAAGGGCCACCGTGCACCGCTTGGCCTTCCAGAATGGAAAAAAGGAAGGTTGTTCTCAAGAAGGCCAAGCATATTTTTGCGGCTAACTCCGAATTTACTTTTTCTTGTAATATGTAATTTTCCCTCTGGTGTTTTATTTACTCTTGGGCAGGTACCCTGATAGACATTTTGCTCCCTTCCACTAATACACAAGAGTTTCTAGAAATGGAGATACACCCTCCCTCCCCAACTATTAGAAGCTTATTTATTTCCACTTAAATTTCCTTTTTCAGTTTATTACCTGGGAAAAACATGCCCCTCAGGCCCTGTCCTTCCCTTCCTTGCGCTGTCTGTCCCCTCCCCACCCAGCACACATTTTTAAAACAGGAAAAAAAGTAGTGGCCACAAGCCTAGCGTCCCGCAGCTCTGTTCCTAGTGGTGAGCAGTCTAATTAGAAAAGAACCACTTATTTTTATTAAAGCTGCATGTGAAGTAATTCCACACCTGTGAGTTTTAAAGTTTTATTTATGCCAGTGGAGTCTTTGAGATATAACCTGAAAGAATTTATTTTGGGCTACAGCCAACTGTCTGGTATAAGACTTGTGCTCACATACAGGGGACACATTTTGAATGAATGTGAGTTTGTTTTAAACTTCAGTTTTTCCTGAAAATATAGTAGGGTTTTTAACAGCAGATGTTTGTCTAGCTTCCTTTCAGCTTTCCTAGGTAGATCTTGTGGGGAAAAAAAAGCACATTACACACACACGCAAAGTGTGGATACCAGTTTTTAAAATAAAAGATGTGAAACTGATCAACAGGTAAGGTAAAAATTTCCTGATTATGGAATTAAGTTATATAGTCCATTTGAATTCCACGTGATTAAAAAATCTTACGTCATTACAGAGTAAAAGCATGAATGTTTAATCATATAAAATATAGTTTAGTACCCTGATTTGAGTTTCTTTATTGGACTATTTTGACTGAAAGTTTTTCCATTTCTTGCTAGATTATAGCCATTTTTTTTCCATTTTGCTGTTTATAATTTATGTGGAATGGTTTAAGACGATCTGATTCTTTTTAGATATTAGTATGTTAGAATGTATATAAATAATGCCAATCTTTCCAAGGTAAATATTCCTACTATCTTCTTGAAAAATGTTACCATGGGGAACATAAACTATATTATCTTAAATTTTAGTAGGTTCAAGTACACACGCTACATAAGTATATTTTCTGCCTACTTTTTGTGGAGAAAGAGTATTTATATATTGTTACGCTCAAGTTCTGAAATTACGGACTTTGTAAATATATTTTGGAGTTGTAGTGACTGCATATTTTTTATACCCTAAGAAATTTAATAGATTTAGCAAGACTTGCATTAATTGGTCTCAGGCTGCATGAAGCCACTGTTCCATTTATGGCTTATATAAATTACATGACATTGTGCTTTTCCAATGTGAATGGTGAATGAGGCTATTGTCTCTTGGCTTATGGGAAATATTAGAAGCTTGTAGTTTTACTGCCTAACTGGACACGTCACTCTGATTTCTGGAAATAATGATTTGAAAGAGAATCAGTTTATATATTAAAAATAAACTGACAACCGCTTCCTTAAACTTGACCATTTTTCTAACTGCCCGTATCTTACAGAGTTTACATTTCCGATGAGATGATTAAAAGTTTCTAGAGACAATTTAGACTTTAGACTAAATAGAAAAAGACTTTGTTCAATGTGTGTGGCATGCTTGGGCAAAAACTCTATCTTTCCACTTTCATTTCTAATTGGGTGACATTATTACATCATCTACATTGGATGACATTAAGATGCATACTGAGTGACTGGAGTAATAACATTTAAAAAGACATTTCAATAGTAACAAAAAATGCCAATAAAACTTGAGCGTGGCTACCTGAGTATTATCTTAGTTTCCCTTATATTCATTACTCGGGATGGAATTATTTGGAATGCCTTAAGGAAAACTTCAAGATTACTGTATTTAAAACATTTGTAGCAAATCTAACAAAGGCTGAACATATTTAGTATAGAACTGATTAAAAAAATCACAAATCAGTAAAAAAAAAATATTTACATTGTAACAGAAAACTATACAAATAACTTGAACATGCCAATCCAAAGAAAGGAAATACAAAGGAGACACCATTTCTGTCAAACTGGTAATGATTAAAGCAACAATACTCAATACAGTCATGTGCCACATAGCAAGATGTTTTGGTCAATGAGAAACCACATATACGATGGTGGTCCCATTAGATTAGCAGCATATAGCCTAGGTGTGTGGTTGGCTATACCATCTAGGTTTGTGTAAGTACACTCTATGATGTTCAAATGACGACGAAATTGCCTAAGGACGCATTTCTCAGAACATAATCCCTCTTTAAGTGACACACAAGTGTGTGATGAGAGTGTCATGAGATAAACATTGATACACTTCAGTGTAAATGTGTTTGTGTGTATTTAACTTTAGGAATAATTTTAAACCTACAGAAAAGTTGCAAGAATACTACAAAGAATACGTGTATACTCTTTATGCAAAATCACTTGTTGTAAATATTGACCCTATTTATTTTATTATTTTCTTTCTTCCTCCCTCCACCTCCACTCTCTGTACACACACACACACACACACAATTTTTTTCCAGAACCTTCTGAATGTGAGTTACATACATCAGGGCTTCAGGGTTTACTTTTTAATTGAAATTTTTCTTGAGATCTTTGTAGAGTCACATGAAGTTCTAAGAAGTAATCCAGAGAGATCCCACATACCTTTTACCCAGTTTCTCCCAATGGTAACATTTTGCAAAATGGTAGTACAATATTACAACCAGGATATTGATACAATTCACCTCTCTTTTTCAGATTTTCCCAGTTTTACATGTGCTTCGTGTGTCTGTGTGTTTCTCAAGGTTGCCTTTTAATTTCACTTGTGGTACAAGCCAGTTATGCATGTTACAGCTCAAGTAAAGGCCCAGATTTGTGCAGATTTGAAGAGTGAACCTTTCTGCCTTTTTGAAGCAGGGGCGAACCCAACTCAATAGAAAAACTTAACTTCAGAAATAGAATAGCACTTTCTTTTTTTATTCATTGCACAGGCTCAGGAACATGATCTTTAACCAGAAGAAGAAATACAATTATAAGCAGACTTGAATAAACCAGGTTACCAATCTTTTCACTCTGGAAGAATTAAGGTATTCTTTGTGCCACTCCTCAAACCCCTGTATGAAAAGATTTGCCGTAGAAATACAGTTGGGATATGAAGAATGAAGCTAATTCTGACTATTGCTGGTATTAATAGAATTGCTACTGTGTCAATTTCTCCACTAATTTCAAAATTTCTTCACTAATTTCTCTTTAAATTGTGACATTTAGGGGCGCCAGTAGGAGTAAAGAGATGGAAGATGGTAGGTTTTTTGGATTATTTCGGTGATACATTTGAATTAAATCACATCCATAAGAGGTCATACCTACGTTTAAAACAATTCCTATGAAAGGGAATTGTTCTAAAGCTTCCTCAGACAGGACTCGAGCATGTTGTATTTTGTAGCCTATACAGATCGAAAAGGAAAGTAGGTATGCAATAGAGGTAGCTTGGTTCTCAGAAAGGACAGGCGACTTGGAAGCCTGGTGACACAGGGTGTCTTTTGGCTCTGCCACCATTGATTATGTGACCTTGCGCAAGTCATTGAGCGTCGTAGTTTTTTTCACCTGTGAAACGATAGGTTTTCTTGCGTAATTTTTAGATTCTTTTCAGGTTATAGAAGTCTGTGACTTGTTTACTTAAAAATGTTCTTGGTCTCTTCTCTAGAACTTTGAGGCCACAACCCAAGTGACATAGATTGTATTAAGTTTTCCATAGTTCCCATTTGGAATCTTAGTAACCCTGTTCGGGATTTTCCGTTCTTGTGAGAAAGTTGTTTTAAGTCTCAGGGATGTGTCTTTGCCAAGTGATCCCCTGAGAAGACAGACAGTGCTTTCCTTCCTCTGTTCCATTCTTAAATTATTTGTTTCTGTTCTTCAGTAAACAGTAAAGTGGACGAAAGCTGGCGTGTCATATGGTTTATGTTTCGGTACAAGTGCTTGCCCCGTCCTGGGCTCCTTCTCTGTGCGAAGTGATGCAGTCTTGAGAACTGGAATGCATCAAGCCCTTGGCAGTCATGAGCGCTACCGTCTGATGCGATTGTAGGTCACTTTTGTAAAACAGCTTCAGCACTGGAGATGGAATCCCTACATGTCGGAACCTTTTATAGCAGAAGAAAGTAGCGTGAGCACCTAAAAGAAACTGTGAATGTTGCCAAGCTGATGAACCTGATTCCCTGGGTATTGTTTGGAGAGCGTGTGAACTTAAGAGGGGGCCGTTATTCACGTATTGATAAAGGAGAATTGTCATGTCCCACAAAGATGAAGAATCTGGAAGTTCTGTTGGTCTGAGCCACCCTTCTGTTAATATCTGTAAGACTGGCGGCCAGGTGTGATTGGTCTGCCCCATTATTTCTCTGGGCCTCAGTTTCCTCCTCTGTGGAATGAGGAGGTTAGACTTCATCTTTGGAGCTCTAAACTTCTTTGGATGTGTAGTCGTGTTTGTGTCTTAGAAGCATACTCATTCCTCCCCAGCGTGAAAGGGGAACACCTCATTCATCCAGCATCAATGGGAAATGGACTCATTCTTCCAGATGAGTGAACGTTCCGTGTGACAGAGGTTTATCATCTACCTTTTTTAAAGCCCTAAGTGCCGTGCAATGTTATCGCCAGTTCTTTTTGGTGGATAATATCCTATTTACAGAAGAGGAAATAGTCTCAGAGTTTAAGTACTTGCCCCCAAAACCACACAGTAAATCGAGGCACCAGGACGTAACTCTGTGCTGTTCCAGAGTTCACATCCATTATTACTATATTATTATTATTATGAGTTACTATAACATCATCTCATAAGCGGTAACACTGCTCTTAATTTCAAATATTTTGATGGATGTATTTGAAAACATTGAAATACAAGAGTATTTCCATACAAAAAATACTCTTCAGATCTTAACCATTTTCTAGTTTAGAATTTCCTTTAGGAGCTGCATGATGCTGGAACTTCTAGTTTGGTGAATATAAAAACCTGGCATGAGTGTCACATACTACTCGAAATTTCTATATTCATGGAAGACATTTCATTTCTGTTCCCAAAAGTAGCCACCAAGTCAATTGATTGGTGTTGGCTTATGAGATTAGTCCTATTATCTATTCTTATTTAAGTCTTTTCTTTTGATTTCACTGTGGACAGAATAACCACGCTTACATTAGAGTGCCCGGGATGACAGTTATAATAGTAATAGCTAATATTTGGTGAGTGCTTGCTGAGTGTCAGACACTGTTCTTAAAAGACATGATCTGATTTAATCATCTGGCACCTCGGTGGACTAGGTACTGTTGCTATTTCTATGTTACAGGTGAGAAAGAGGAGGCACAGGGGGTTGAGTAACAATTTCCCAAGGGTTGCATAGTTTGTAAGCAGCAAACGCTGGTCTGGCTGACTCTCGAGTTCTCTTTGCTTCTTAGATGGTCTCTAACAGTGAAAGACTCTAACAGTAAAAGATTGAAAATGCAGGGTTGAAGCCAGTTCAAGAATCATTTGATGTCTTTTTTTGCTTATTTGGATATTTCTCTTCCCACTCTTCTGGTTTTCTATTTAGTAATACGTTTTACTCCAGATTAGCAACCTTCAGGTAAAGAAAATACTACTACAACTCTGAAGTATCTTATTTAGTTGTGCCTCTTTTTAGAAATAAAGTGACTCTCAATTACCACTTATGGCCGAGGTAACTCCCTTTGGGGATTTTAAGATCTGGTGAGTTCTTACTGCTGCTTAACAATCTTCCTGCCTCGTGACTCTCCTGCTTTGCCAGTCCATTTTGGTGACTGACTGTTATACTTGATGTCCCCTTCACTGATTTGCCTCTTTTGATGGGGCTGAGTCAATGAAAGGTATCATACCACTGTTTCAAGCCAAGATAATATGGATGTTCCTGTCTAAATTGTTATTAAGTATAATTTTGAGTTTAAAGATGAGACCATTGTACAGAGGATGACTTGAGAGTTCTCAAAACACCACTCTTTCATCTAATGTCATTTGCTAGTTTCTATAATACTTAGTGTTTACTAGCTATTTAAAAACATTGACAGCTATTGCTATATATAAAGGAGTTATTCTTTTTGGATGTTAATGCTTCAGTGCTTCATTTTCAAGAAAAGAAGTTGGGCAATTTATTTTTGTTTTAAATATTTCCATTTGTAAAGCAGCAAAAGTTATCAAATGAAAACATTTCCTTTAGGTCTAAATTTCTGGGAGATTACAGGGGAGTTGATATAAACATCCTCTTGCTACCCAGGTGCGCCTGTAACTGGGAGGCTGGAGGCTGAAGCTGAAATGGCTTTAGTTTTTAATAAATGACTTTTTTCTTGAATTATCTGAATATTTCCCCATCTTCAGGCAGAGATCACTTATTACATCGTCTCTGATAGGAAGGTGCCGCCAGGTGGCAAATAAAATACATGGATTTTTTTCTTTTGCCTATTTAGCTTAAAGGAGATAGTTAATTTATCATCTTTAAGGTTCCTTCTTTATTTGGAAGCAAGACTGAAGGTTCCTATTTTTCGGTCCCTGCTGGAAACTGTCACCTGTATTGTTCTGATGCTTTATTGAATGTCAGTGTCCTGATTGTTGCTTTTTTCCACTGCAGGATGTTTCTCTCAGGTCGAATGTGGAGCTGTCATTGGAAGTGGAAGCCAAGTTCTCTTTTGTTCTTATTTGCTTTTTATATTGTCTGTGTTTCTCGCTCAGGTGAGTAAGACTCGCTCTTTCAAACTACGAATTTAATAATGATTCCCTTGCCTTCAGGATAAGTGTGCTACTTATTTAAGGAACCCTAACTTTATTTTTTGTCATTTTTTTTCTTTTTCTGTCCTTTCAGGCTTTTTCTGTTCATGGCCTCTCGTTCCTCTTGAATTCTGTGTGAATAGTGTTACTTTGATCATTGTTTTATTTTCTAATGAGTATATTTCTTTAATCTTTGTGGCATTTCTTTTGGTTTTATTTATTTATCTAGCCCATACTGAATGATGAGATAGCTACATATTTGACATTAAAAACGTGCTAGCTGTTTCTTCTACTATTGAATAAATATACAGTACTTCATTCTCTCTCTTTTCAAGTTTTCAAATAGTTATTTATTTATGGAAAGTAAAGTTTAGACTTTACTGTTTTTTTTATTTTGATTTTATTACCACGTTGCAGTATAAGAGAGGAATTTGAAATTAAGTGTTTAGACCAGGAAGTTTATTTAGTTGACTTGGTATAAAAAAATTAACTTCAATTGTATTATGTTGGGAATTAAAATACCTAATTTTTGTAATTACAATTTTTTTTCTAAACTTTGGAACAAGATTCTTTTAACCATTGTTGAAAGCTAAATTTTCTATACACAGCTAATTAAATGAATAAGCCAGTCAGAACCGAGGAATGTGAATGATGTTTAAAAAGTAAACTGTTTCTTCATTATCTGCTTTTGTTACTGAGCAAACTGAATTTCTCTTAAGTCCATTTTGTTTTAGTCTTTTTTTATTGCTGTATTTATTCAGTTTATTATATTTTCTTTTAGAATAAAATCATTACTCATGAAGTCTTATGTACTTATTACTTGGGATTTATTTAAGATTTTATAAATTGCAGATTTATAATATATCTGTATGTTATTATAAATAATACATTTAACAAATCATGGAAATAGTTTGCTAAAATTGCTTATTCATGGATAAAGAAATACAACTTGTATTTAATATGTAAATAGTTTTTCCCAAGCCAACAAATATTTTAAGAGTTTCAGGTACTTGCTTGGAAAATCCCTGGCACTTGTTTAATGACTTCAAAACAAAACTGATCTTTGAGTGAATATTTTTATGTATTTGTTTCAATTTCATTATGAAGTCACTCTTTATGTTACTTTCATTGCCAGAAAGAGGAAACAGACTTGTAAAGAGATCTGAAAATTACATATACATTGTATTTTTATGATGTACAGTGCTGAACTATTTCTTACCTTTCAAAAGAGATCCTCCAAGAACTAATTACCTGATGTAAGATAAATTATGAGATTAAAATTAGTTGAGGTCTATTTGCTTTCATTTTTGTTGGGTCATGGTCTTTGTAAATGTTTAAGACTTCTTCAAACCTTAAATTGGGACTTTTTATTTTCAATGTCAACATTTTAATTGATATATGCACATTCGTTATTTTAATCATTTGAATAAATGAAATGAAATGCATGTTTTTAGACCAATTAAAAGGAGTCAACTGGGCTGGGACTAGGGCGAGACAAGAGAAACACCTAGGGTACAAAATTTAAGGAGGCCCTTGTTCTTAAGGTCATGGGAGTCAGAGTATTTACAGTTGTTTTTAAGTTACTGTCTCACACAAGAAGTCTTTTTAAAAAAAGTCTTTCACGAGCCAGCCCGGTGGCGCAGCGGTTAAGTGCGTGTGCTCCGCTTCCGTGGCCCAGGGTTCGCAGGTTCGGGTCCCGGGTGCACACCGACAGACGGCCTGTCAAGCCGTGCTGTGGCTGCGTCCCATATAAAGTAGAGGAAGATGGGCGCGGATGTTAGCCCAGGGCCAATCTTCCTCGGCAAAAAGAGGAGGCTTGGCATCGGATGTTAGCTCAGGGCTGATCTTCTTCACAAAAAAAAAAAAAAATTCTTTCACTACCCAACACTTGCCGTGTATCATGTAAGGCTTTGTGACAGATGCTTATCTGTTTACTCATTGAGCCAGAACATTTTGTATCTATATGTCTGTAACCATGACTCACTTAAAATGCCACCACCTGACTCATGAATATCTGAAGTCACAAAAATGCTGTAGGGATTGTTATTGGCATTTTAATATAAAATTTTTGCCTTATTAGATAACTCAGTATAGAGTTCCTTAAAATAATGCATATTAAAACTTTAGATAGATCTAAGTTTTCAAAGTCCTATCTTTAAATCGTAGCGTAATTCCATATATTTTTGAAGACCAATTAGTGCTTACCTGTGATGTTATCTCTCCATATATACACTCTTTGACTTCTTTTGCTTCTCTGGATGACCCCGAGATGATCTTATCGAATCCAGTGGCTTTAAATGACATCTTGTTGCCAGTGTCTCCTAAATCCATATCATCAGCCCTGGCTCCCTCCTGGACCCTGGAGTCACCTCTTGGGTTCATTATTCTCATCTGCACTTGGATATATAATAGACCTCAAACTTCACATGGGCAGCCTCTTGATTCCTACCTCCTATCGCCAAATCTACTGCCCTCGCAATCAGTACAAGCCAACCTACTACCCGGCCAGTCTCTCCACCCTCACGATTTTCTAGACACTTTGGCTTTTCTGTTTTTTTTTTTTGGGTGAGGAAGATCAGCCCTGAGCTAACATCCGATGCCAATCTTCCTTCTTTTTGCTGCGGAAGACTGGCCCTGGGCTAACATCTGTGCCCATCTTCCTCTACTTTATATGGGATGCTGCCACAGCATGACTTGACAAGCACTGTGTCCCTGCATGCCCGGGATCTGAACCCGGGAGCCCTGGGCCGCCACAGAGGAACTCGTGCACCCAACCGCTGTGCCACCCGGCTGGCCCCTGGCCTTTCTATTTTTTAACGATGCCTTCTAGTGCCCTCTTCTTCCCAATCTGCACACGCTTGGTTCTTTTTTAACACTCAGATCTTAATTATTACCTCAAATAAGCCTTGCTATCCCCCCATTCAAAGGACCTCCATTGTCATTGTCACATTACCCTTTAGTGATAATCTGTATAGTTTTGGTTACTCTCTTGATTGTTACTGTTTTGTTAATTTGACTGAGACAGCTAGCTTGGAGGCTTGGCAAAACCTCTTTTTGTTGCTAAGATTGGCACTTAGTTCAGGTGATTAAAAATTAGAATCTTATAGTTTAATTCGGAGAACATCCATAGTTGAATTCATATAATGGAATTGCAATGTTAAGTCTCCTAGTAGGTAAGTTAACACTTGTAGTTTCGTGGAGCGTTTACAAAGCAAATAGTATACAAGGTTTGTGCCCCTCAAGATTTTAAAAAGTGACATAGAAAAAGAACTCATTGTCTCTTGACAAGTGATAAATATAATTTTTAATAAGAAGTACAACAGAATAACAGCTGAATAGTTAAATTGGGCCCATAGAAGTGCAAATTACAAAACGTGATTGTTTTTTACCCACTAGCTTGACAATAGCCAGCCCTGGTGGTCTAGTGGTTAAGATTCGGTACTCTCACCGCCGCGGTCTGGGTTTCATTTTCTGGTTAGGGAACCACACCACCGGTCTGTTGGTTGTTATTGTACTGTGACAGTTGCGTGTTGCTGTGATGCTGAAGGCTGTGCCACCAGGATTTCAAATACCAGCAGGGTCACCCATGGTGGACGGGTTTCAGTGGAGCTTCTAGACTAGACAGACTAGGAACAAGGACCTGGTCACCCACTTCCGAAAGAATTGGGTATGAAAACCTTGTGAATAGCAGGGGAGCGTTGTCTGATAGAGCGCTGAAAGGTGAGAGGATGGCTCAGAAAGACCGGGTGGGTTCTGCTCTACTGGACATAGGGTCACTAGGAGTTGTAATTGACTCTGTGGCACTAACGACAAAACTTGACAATATTTAGACAAGTTGATAACATTCAGTATTATCAAAGGTGTTGGGGCACGTACCAACACCGTTGGCTCTGTCTTTTGGGAGAGTAATTGGGCAACATTTTTAAAAATTAAGAATGTGTATCCTCTTTGACGTATTCCTCCCACATATAGGTATCTATCCCATAGAAATAAAAAACATAATAAATATACAGAGAAATATGCACTAGTCTGTTAACTGTAACATTGGAATAGCAAACAGTTGGTAAAGACTCTAACTGTTCATCACCAGGGGAATGGCAAAGAGATTATTTTACATTCATATCATGAAATACCATCAGCCATTCAAAACAGTGTGGCCAAAGTGTGTATATTGCTTGGAAAAATGTCCATGATAATAATGTTAAATTATAAAGCTAATTGCAGAACAATATAAGATTATCCCAGATTTGTAATAGGTTGTATTACAAAACTGGAATGTATAATGTATATATATATGTTTATGTAAGGCTGTATAAACATATTAATAAAACACGGAATAATTCACACCAGGCTTTAAAATGGGTCATCTCAGAGGCATAGGTTGAAGCAAGAAGTGGGAAGGCATTGGAACTTTATACAACTCTGAATTGTTTGCCTTGTTACAGTGGGCGTATGTTACTTTAGTAATTTGGAAAAGCAAAAAAACCTGATAAAATTCTTTTTTTTAAGCCACATTAAAAAAATGGCCAGAGAGACTGTTGAAGTGTATGAATAATTTTCTGTTAGCCACGTAACTGTTACTTCTGGTCGTTCTTCCCTTGATAAGAATCTCTAAAAGGTGTTTCAAATAGTAACCTCTTTTTATGTGGCACGACTCTCCATGACTCTGAAGATGGATGATGATATCTCAAGCAGACAGAGGTTATGCCTTCGAGTAAGTGGGAAGCAAACATCAAGAGGCAATGAATTCCTAAGCAACCAGGAGGCTGTTTCCACACAGATAGCCTTAGTCATGAGCACGGAGGGAGGAGCCTCCCTTCTCCCCTGAAAATCGATGATATCAGCAGATTATTTCAAAGCTCACTGTTATTCTGATGTCTATGATACATCAACAGCTAAAAGGGGAAATGTGTCTGAAAGTACAATCTGGCCTGAATTGTGTGCTGTCTAGCCCAGAGCACAAC